ACAAACTTTTGACAGAATTTTTTTCACTCCTCGAAACTCTCCTTAGTCCTTTTGAAAGCTGATTTTCCCGCGCGCCGGCTTCAACGAATCATAGACTTTCATCATAGGAGTTAGCCTTCCAGTTATTATTAGAGTTCACTGCCCGCGCCATGTTCGCTGGACCCGCGCCATTTTCGCTGGACCCGCGCCATGATCTATTGACTCGCGACCCGCGCCATTTAGACTATCCCCTTTTGCCGTAACAATTTGAGCACGGTTTCTAAACGGAGCGAGGTGAAAACGGGGAGCGCTTGATAGCTTCGTGTGAACACAAACGTGTAAACTCGAATGCTTTTCAGTTAAATTTCTTGGGTCTATTTGAAATATTTTGGGTTTACACGAGTGCTAATTCAATTTGTAAACAAACTGTAATGGCAGTAGTGTGAACACACATAAATTCTGCCCGCATTAGTTCGCTCGCGCGTAGTGTGAACGCAGTCTAATTTTCAGTGACGTTTTTTCAAACGGCGAGGTAGCCTTTAGAAAAATTTAGAAATAGTGGATGTCCGAAGGGGAGGGGGGTAATTTAGCCTGCGAGCAGGCTTTCTGGGTGAAAGAGAGCCTGCAAGGATCCCTATCATATTTATGTGCATGCGTCCAAAATTTGGACGCAGAGCTCTGATTGGTTGATAACTGATTCAAATGAAGTGATTGACAAGCTTCCATAAACTACACTTCCCGTTTGTAAACCGAGCAACGCAAAGCTTCGGACTTGTGGCAATGTAGAGATAAAATGAAGCAATTCCAAACAACTGAATTAGCGGGTAATATACAACTTTTAACTTACTGTGCCTACAGAAACACATGCAGATTGTAATAAAAAGTACAACTTGATATATTACACTGTAAAACCTCAAGCCGTTTTAACTTTTTAGTATGCCCCAGTTGCTGTCTGTATACGAAACTAACGAAAGAATACAATATAAATGGAGTTCAACGTTTATCGGTTTATGTTTACAATATTTAAGTGTATTTCCGGTCTGCGCTGATTGGTTGATATTAATTGACCTGTGACATCCTAATTGAAAGGCGGCACGCAATCATCATAGGGATCCTTGCAGGCTCTCTTTCACCCAGAGAGCCAAGGGGTAATTTTGGACTTTGATGTCCGGAGAGGGGGGAGGATGAACCATTCAAGTATGTCCGAAGGGGGGGAGGGGGTTATTTTTTATTTCCTCCGTTGGGGGGGTGGTATGGATCTTTTCTGGAATGACCCATTCCAAAGTTTTGTTGCGAAATGTTGTAAAATACAAATAATATAAGCCCCTAAATCAAACAGAAAACCGACGGCTAAAACAAAACCTGACCTGAGCTCATTTCACTTTGCACACACACAACGCCTTTGCTGAGTACGATACCAGTCTGAATTGCTGAAAGCTGTTGCAAAAACTGTTTTATATTACTACTTTACAAAATGTAATAATTGGGTGCCATACTTCAGTACGATTATTAGTTCATAAAAAACCCTGTGTTGGGTGGTTGCGGCCTGTTGCCAAAATGGTGTCTGTTGTCACACCAAACACTAATTATTGAGAAACAATTAAAAAGATATTAAAAAAAATTATTTCCGACAGTGGTCCCCCTGAATTATATTCAAATTTAGGGTGTGTTGCAGTTCTATATTTTGCTGTTTGCATTTATGTTTGTTCTGGGATAAAATATTCAATTTTACCTTAGCTAAAGTGGAAGTCAATTCTGTTCTGCTCATCGGTTCTGCTCATAACAATGTGAGGACCCTCTAAAGTGAACATTGCCCAAATTTCGAATGTATCGAATTTTTCTGAACATTAACTCTATTTTATATTAATTTAAAAGCATAGCGAACCAAAACGGCGCCAGATATTCAGACAGTACATCGTATCTTAAAAAATACAGCAGTTCAAAATGTAAACAAACCGTTTGTTTACTTTACAGACTTGACTTCCACTTCAAATTG